GAGGATTAGTTGATGAAGTTTATTCCAAAGTGTTAATAAACTAAACAAGGAGAAATTATGAGATGGTGGAGTCTTGAAAACCATATTACCACATTTTGATTAGAATTTCATGACATTGACATCCACATTACATGCATTACATTTGCATTGTTGTTTGGAGAATGTTTGAAACTTTGGTTTGGATATGCATTTGCATTATGCAGTAGACATTTAAATAATGGTTGAGAATATGGCATTGTGAGAATCTAGATTGTTGCATTTGCATCATTAAGAAAGCATTTACATCATTGATATGACATTCATTACATACAAAATTTTGGGTCACTTGAAAAAGAAATTGTGAATCTTTTGATGAGAATTTTTGAGTTCTCAATGAAAATTTTTGAATTTCAAATGAGAATCTTTGAATTTTAAATGAAAATCTTTGAATTTCAAAAAAGAATCTTTGAATTTCAAAAAAAGAATCTTTGAGTTTTGAGTTTCAAATGAGAAACTTTGAGATGTGAAACTCTAAGATTTGTTGAATAAGAACCTTTGAGTCTTAAATGAGAATCTTTAAGATATTTTCACATGAGAACCTTTGATTTTAAATGAGAATCTTTAAGACATTTTCACATAAGAACCTTTAAGTCTTAAATGAGAATCTTTAAGACATTTTCAAATGAAAATCTTTGAGTCTTAAGTGAGAATCTTTAAGACGATTTCAAATAAGAATCTTTGAATCTTGAATGAAAATTTTTAAGACATTTTCAAATACGAATCTTTGAGTCTTGAATGAGAATCTTTAAGACATTTTCAAATGTGAATATTTGAATCTTAAATAAGAATCTTTAAGATGTTTTCAAATACGAATCTTTGAGTCTTAAATGAGAATCTTTAAGACATTTTCAAATGAGAATCTTTGAGTCTTAAATGAAAATCTTTAAGATATTTTCAAATGCGAATATTTGAATCTTAACTGAAAATCTTTAAGATGTTTTCAAATAAAAACCTTTGAGTCTTAAATGATAATCTTTAAGACGTTTTCAAATGAGAATCTTTGAGTCTTAAATGAGAATCTTTAAAAAGAACTCAAATCAGAACCTTTGAGATTTTAGATATGAAATTTTAAGATTTATTAAATGTGAGCTTTTCAATTCAAAAAAGCTTAAACTTTTAGATATGAATCTCCAAATTCGAACAAAAAAGCTTAAACTTTTGGATGTGAATCTCAAAAAGTTAACAAAAAAGGCTTAAGCTTCTTAGATGTGAACCCCAAATTTGTCAGACGTGAAACTTTGAACTCGAATGAAAAAATTTGGATGTGGATCTCCAAAATTCAAATGAAAATCTTTAAATGTTGGATGCGAGTCTTGCAATTTGCAAATGTGAATCTTGAAATCTTGAAAATTTGATTTTTTGTGAAACTAAAATTTTGAGAATCAAGTTTCAGTGAATTCTTGCAAAGCTGAAAGATTTTTGTGAATCTGAACCTTTGAATTTTGAACTTAAATTGTGAATCTTTGAGTTTTCATTTCATGAAACCTGATTTATGACTCATTTGGACATGATTGTCGAGAAGCATTTTATTTTCCAAAGTTGTGATACCTCTGTTTAGATGAGCATTTTACTTTTCAAAGTTGTGGTGCTTTGTTTAAAGGAGCATTTTATTTTTTAAAGTTGTGGTGCCTCTGTTTAGAGAGCATTTATTTTTTTAAAGTTATGGTGCCTCTGTTTAGAGGAGCATTTTATTTTTCAAAGTCGTGGTGCCTCTATTTAGAGGAGTATTTTATTTTCTCAAAGTTGTGGTGCCTCTGTTTAGAGGAGCAATTTATTTTTCAAAAGTTATGGTACCTTTGTTTAGAGGAGCATTTATTTTCCAAAGTTGTGGTGCCTCTGCTTAGAGGAGCTTTTTATTTTTCAAAGTTGTTGTGCCTCTGTTTAGAAGAGCAATTTATTTTTCAAAAGTCGTTGAGCCTTCTGTTTAGAGGAGCTTTGTTTACTTTTTCAAAAAAAACAAAAAATAAAAAAAAATCAAATTGATTGGGTTGTCTAAGTCTTTGCACAATTCCTGTTTCACAAAAAATATGCAAAGAAAGCAGCTGTAGACACCCCAATCTATCCGGAGGTCTACATTTGATTTTTGTTAATTAAAAATAAAAATAAAAAATGGGAAAAATGAAAGAATAGGTGATTTAATTTGTGTGAAAGTCTCTGATCCAGTTGGGTTGGGTTTAAAGTTGAAGTTTGAAAGGAATTGGAAATCCTATTTGGACTAGGGTTTTTTAAGATTAAAATCCTATAAATATCAGACCTAAATCACACAAAAAAAATCAAGGAGAGAGGTAGAAATCAGAGAAAACAGTCAAGAAAATTTTTCGAAGATTTTTTTGGGGTTTTAAAAAAAAGGAAAAATGTTTTTGAAAAAATCTAGAAAATTTCTAGATTTCGACGACTTTTTCCAGTTTTTGTCTCAAGTCGAACCAAGCCGAGCTATTTTTTGAGCCGTTTCGACTTTTTTATTACAGCCAAGGCGAGCCTTCTAGCCACTAAGCTGAGCCATTTTCTTGATTGGTATTTTTTTTATTAATTTATTTTATTTATTTTCATAGTATTTTGGCATGATTAAATTTAGAAAAAATAAAAATAGAAAAAAATAAAAATTTGAGAATATATATTAATTTTCCAATAATAAAATTTATAGACATTTCAAAATGGTAAATTTTCTATAAAATTCCTTACCTAAGGAATTTTGTCTAAAATTGTCCCAAATGGTGGAATAATTTAGATAAAATTTTAATAACAATAATTAATATTTATTTTCAAAACAAAAAAATATAAAAGATTAAATAAAATTTTGGATTTAAATACAACTTACCCAATGATGAGATTTTTAGAAATTTCAAATGGTAAATTCTTAAGAAATCTCTAGGTGAGAAATTTTCTATAAATTTGTCCCAAATGATGGAATAATTTAGATGAAATTTCAATAAAAGTAATTGTATTCTTTTCTAAATAAAATTTTTGGTTGAAAATATTCGATAATTATCCAATGATGAGATTCTTATAAATTTCAAATGATAAATTTTTTTTAATTTGTCTCAAATAGTGAAAGAATTTAAATAAAATTTCAATAAAAAATAATTGTCATATTATTTTCTTTCTGAAACAAAAAAATAAATAAATAAAAAGAATTTCTAAATAGGCCAAAATGGTGAAGAATTTAGAAATTCAAAACAAAAAAATATTTTTAATTTGAACAAAATAGTGGAGTAATTAGATATATTTTCGATAATAAAAAAATAATTAAACATTTTTTCGACGATGTAGCCTTTTCAAAAAATCAAATGGGATTCTTGAATACTTTTGAGGTGAGAAAATATTTTTTAAAAATTCTATCAAATTGATGGAAGAATCGTATGAATTATTTTCAATATTTAACAAAAAAACTTAAAACCATTAGATCAAGACCTTAGGATAAATTTAAAATAAAATGGTACCATCCTTCGGAAGGGTATGTGGGGATGCTATAAGCTTTCCCATATGTAATTGAACTCTCGAATCCTGTTCTAATTTGTAGACCTAAACCTATTCTTTTAGAGACCTTTAGTCAAGCTTAGGAGTTCCTTAAGAGGATAGATTTATTAGGTAACCAATCACACCTAGTTAAGAAAAATTAGTAGCGACTTCATTCATCTATTAAGTCTAGCTATAGATTTTCGGATCTATATGTTATGACAATAATTATTATTTATATTTATTAAAATATAAATATTATTTATTAATATATAATAATTAATCTTTATGTAATAAAAAAGAAATATCCATATATAAAATTAATAAAAGGAAATATTTACATGTTTATATAAATTAGTACAAAGGAAATTAAAATCATTTTTATATTTTTTATATGAATGTAGATTTTTTCTATTAATTTTACATATATAGATTTTCTTTTATTAATTATTTTCTATCATTGTCAAATAATTAATCATTTTTATTAATATTTCATTTTTTATTAATTTTATATATTATTAATTTTATAATTATTTTTAATTATGGTATCAATTAATACAATTTTTTGTTAGATTATTTTTTTTAAATTGCTTATTTTTACACATGTATAAGTTTTTTTTTTTTTTTACAATGTCATTATCCATATGTCTTAAAATATAGCAACATATCATTAATATAAGAATACAAGGGTTTTGATAGTAAAAAACAAGAGTTGAGGAGTTTATTTAGATGAAATAGTAGTATAAGAGCTTAATTAGATTATTTTGAATACTTGAAGGGCTTTTATTCATATTTTACCTAAACTTACTAGTTGGTATTGAATCAGTCTAATTAAAAAAATTCGCATGATTTATTGGTTTATTATGTAAACCATCAGTTCACAATGATTTAAAATGGTTTAATTACAAAGCTTGTTTAATTACAGAATTATACTGATTTCAACACTAGTTTGTGGGTTCAATCGATCAAATTGGTGGTTCGATCCGATTCTGATAATAATGAAAAATACAATAGTAGGATTTGATAGAGCAATATATCGGAAGAAACATGGTTAGATTCAAAGAGACAATTTTTGTTATAGCCTTGAATTGAACATAAAAGGGTAAATATTATGAATGGCCTATATGTAAATTATAATGAAATGTTAAATTTGATATCTTAACTTAAGAAATTTTTAATATGATACTAATATTCTGAATTTATTAACTAATTAAGATGGTGTTTAGAGGGTTATTTGTGTCTCATATATCATAATGTAGAACTAGGTACATTAGGAGTAAATATCATATTAGTTAATAAATTTATAATATCATATTAAAAATTTTTTAAATTTAGGCACTTCATTTAATATTTCACTACAATTCAAAGGCATTCATAATATTAATCCAACAAAAAATAGATTGAAACAATTAATCAACAATTAAGGTCTGTCACCTGATTTGTTCCAAGTGCTATGAAAAACTTTGGTCAAAGTAATTTAATTTATCAATTGTTTTTGTCTTGCTAAAGTTTTACAAAATAAGAAAACCTCACTTACTTTCTCAGAGTGAGTGTTATGTTTCATTTATAGATATCACAGGGTACAAGAAATATACATTATTGTTTATAAAGAAAGATTAAAAATAAAGCTAAGAGAATGAAACATCTGTCCTAACATTTTGACATTAGTAATTTCGATTTTCCAAACTGATTTTACCACTAAACTTAGATTGGAACCAAGATCCTTGTCATTTTTATTGGTTCACCTTCCTGCAGTTGACACGAATTTGTCCTTGGTTCCCAGTCAAAGGCTTAATATTTCCCATCTTAATGATTGACTTACGGAAATCTTTCCAGAAAACTTCAGGGTACGAACTGTAAGTCTTTACACGTTTATCAGTGGAGCCGCCATTGAAAAGTGCCTGATCTGAGATGAACAGCCCCCTTTGCTTCACCAAGTTGTTGAAGTACGCAATGTCAAAGTGTACAGGTGTTGGGTCTAAAGGAGCAAGGATAGAGTCTCCTCCAGTGAATGGGCAGGTTGCTCTTCGCTTTTTTGCAAAGACAGGGTCGATGTTTGTTGCATTGTAAATTCTGTTCCTAAAGAGAAAACATCGTGCAAACCCAATGGTGTGGCCACCAGAGAGAGCTACAAGGTCTCTCCGTTTCAGACCTTGATTCTTGAAATTGTTGATTAATGCAGGGAGATCCATGGACGGGTTTGGAAGGTCGAGGTTTGCTTGTGTTCGATTGGCTGTTGTTGAATCTCTCCTCCCTAGCCGCACCTTCCATGATGGCCCTCCTAGCTGCAATTGAAAACCATATATTCCATTACAATTTTTTTTACCAACAAATTAGGTAACTATTCATGGCATAACAAAATAATGATATAAGTAATAGGATAGACGCAAATACGCACCGCAACTACAGAATCTCGAGCTGCTACGGCCAAGATATCAGCACAAGAAACCACAGGGCATCCACAAATTTTGTCCACCTCCGCCTTAATATGGTCGATCACTTCAAATCCTCTTAAAGAATTTTTATTCGGAGTAGCATTCTTTTCACTATCAAGGGTAGGCGTCGGATCCAAAAGATTTGAAGCATCACATCCCTGCAATTACAAAGACAAAAACAGTTCAAGTCAATACCCTCAACAGCTAATTTTTTAAGATTTCCTGAAAAATATTTAGAACTAAAATATATTGTAAAATACATTAACAAAGCAGTCATGGAAGTGAAGACGAAGTAAAGATGCTCCCATCCGTCGCTCTTTGTGCACTGCAGCCTCCACTAGTTTTTTGATGGTTGGCAAAGCTTTGGGACAAACATTTTTATAGTAATGCGGAGATAATGAGAAAGCTGTGGCTGCAAGAACCGACAAGACAAAGGTTTGAAACAGGATGTGAACACGAGAAGCCATGACAATTACTAACTTAACTGAAGTTTGCTTTGAGCTTAGTTTGTCTGAAATTTTCTGTGACTTTTTTGGTTGAGTTGGTGTCACTATTTATAGTGATTAATGATAATAACAATCAATCAAGTAGAATTATTTTTATAAGGATTTAGTAATATGGGACTTGGCCAGTTTGACCGGTTCTTCGCGAGTCACTTTAAATTAATTAATCAACTAACTGATTCAACTTCAATACGTTAACCCCTAATTTCAGCTACTGAAGTTGCCTTACTCATTCAACTTTTGAGATTTTTTTTCCGCCATAATTTCTATGCTCCATGTCAATTCTCTTAGCCTTCTAGCCAACACACACTCAACTATCACATCATTATCAGTACAGTGGCTCTAAAAATTAAAAAAAAAAAAGTTAGAACAAACTTTATTAAACCCTTAAATTATGACTCAATACCAAAAAAAAAAGGTAAGTTTCAAAATATTACTTCCTGTTATTGAAGTATTAACGTTGAAGCAGACTCAGTTTTAAATCCTTCTGCCCTGTATATAAAAATGAAAATTAAAAAGCAAGTTGATAAAAGTTCAAAATTATTGGAGAAAAATTATATTCATTTTTTCAAACAGTATAAGAATTTTAGATTTTATCTAGTACATTCCTTTTTGAATTAATCCAAATAGATTTATCTACGTTCATATCGAATTAATAAAAATCATCTTTTTACGATGACCTAATAAAATTAAATTCCAGTCAACCGAAACAAGAGCAAACTAAATTGCTACGTGAGGTAACATATATATTTTTTTCTTATCAATGGATATCATACATTATCCACTTTGACACAGTCAAAGAATGGGTTATTATATAAAATAAGAAAAGCAATCGTCAAATATTAATTAAGTAGCATTAATTGTGCGGGCCAGCATAATAATCATAATAATACAAAGTAAAAGCTTTTTGCTGGCCGAACAAAACAGGCCATTCTCCTGCTGATTACGTTGATTAATGTATCTGTTGATTAATTCTGTTAATTACGTTTCAAGAGTTTTCTTTTTTTTTTTGTTTTTTTTTTCTTCCTCTATCGAAGGCATCTACTGTTGAACTTATCAACAGTGTAATCAGTATCTTTAATATTTAGAAATTAACTATTATTAACTAATTACGAATAGGTTAACCTGCAGATTGTATATGTTTTTTTATCCTTTATGATCAACTGATTCGTCATTGCTTCAAACTCTTTTTTTTGGCAATCATGCTTTAAAGCGGAGCCGATTGACCATGGAACTTGGTTTAATAAAATAATTTAGATATGATAATTATCAATAATAGAATTTTGGTGATAGTCATAGTGCAAGGTAGAAGAGTTGGAGAGAGTAGGGTATTTATTCGAACGGTTCGATTAATTTTAAATCAAATTATTTAAAATTAAATTAATTAAATTAAATTTTTTTTATTTTCATTAATTGAGTCAAATTTATTAATTTTGAAAATTAATTGAGCGAATTTAAACTAACCGATAAACTTAATTAAATCGATTCGATTGGTTTGATTAATTTTAAATTAAATTATTTTGTTTTCGTTAATTGAATCAAATTTATTAATTTTAAAAATTAATCGAACGAATTTAAATTAACTGATTAAATGAATTAAATCGATTAAATCGATTAATTCAGTTAAAATTAAATTATGAACATCCTTAAGACAGAGAGTAGTAATATGAAGGACATTGAGATGGTTTAGCTTTTTCTGTTGTCAATCTTATTCCCAAACAATATTTTGAATGTATTTTACAGCTTTCATGTCTATTCAGACGGTTTTTGAACAAGAAGTTCTATATTTTCAAGCTCATATAGTTGAAAAGTATTACACGGAATTCATTTTGATAACTGGATTAATAATTAGATGATTTTGTTCGAGACGAAGTTGAATTGGTATGCCAATCGTGTGTGTGCATATATATGTCATGCGGCACTCTTGTTGATATCTTGGAAAGTTTAATTACCACAATTATTCGAGGCCTCAAATAGCAATAAATAAATAAATAAATAAAGAATATGAGATTGTTTGGTGAAAACAAAGTTCTATACACCTGAAACAAACAATTCTTAATTGAGCACAACGAATCAAACAATATTAATCCGAAGATCTTCCGTGTGGCTTTTCGTACTGAAGACTTACAATGTCTTATTTAACATTAAAAAAATGAATACTATTTATCAAAATGATTTCTTGAAATAATAAAAAATTTTAGAAAAATTGTCACTGAAAGGATCAATTTGCTTCACCAGTTCACTTTCCTACAGTTAGTTGTCACGAATTTGTCCTTGTTTGCCAGTCAAAGGCTTTATATTTCCCATCTTAAGCATAGACTCAGAAAAGTCGTTCCAAAAACTTCAGGGTTAAGTGATTAGAAAGTTGAATTTGCTGTGAATTAATTTTCTTTCTTTTCAAGTTTGTGAGTTTTGGGAATGGTTGGAGTGCTGCAGGGCATTTATAGCGAGCAATTTCGATTAGGACTTAGCCAGTCATTAGATTAGTTCTCAAGGCTTTTATGTTACTTTTAAATCAAACTATTCACGGTAGGCCCGTTCCTAATAGATTTTTTAGCATTGAAATTGACATGGTTAAGTTCAAAAGGAATTATCTTTTAATTGTAGACATAAAAATCTGATCAAAACAAGAAAAGAAACAAAAGAAGAACTTAAAATGAAATGGATAAGGAAAATAATGAAGATTGAATTGAAGGTTAGATTTGAGTTCTCTTCATAAAATACAAGATAAAAAAAACTAAGCAAGTTTATCAAAATATTCAAAATTATTGGAGAAAATTATATTGATTTTTTCCTTATCAAGGTATATAAGAGAAAGGATTGTTAATGTTGAAATTTAAATTTTAAATTTATTAGGTAAATCAATTTTATTTTTTAAAAGCTATTACATGAATCAATAAAATTAAAATTCAAGATCTATATTAAAAAATTTAATAATTATTATATATTTATAAAAAAGGATTAACTTATTTAATGTAAAATTAAAAAAGTTTTATATATTTTTTTAATCATTAATTTCGATAGATATTAGACATGAGAGAGTTAGTATAAAATAAAAAAATTTATTTAATCTAATCTTTTAGATATATTAAAATAAATAATTAAAAATATATAATTGTTTTTTTGTTTTATATGTATAAATTAATCTTTTCTCTATCTATCTATCTATCTATATATATATATATATATATATATAAATCAATTTGTACAATATAAAACTAAAAAAAATTCATACAATTTTTTAATCGTTGATATATTCAAAGAATGAGATATTGATTAAGACAAGAAAGACTACGGTCAGATATTAATTAATTAAATAGCACTGACTGTGCAGCCCAGCTCAATTATACTTATACAAAGAAAAAGCATTTTGTTTTTGGCCAAGAAGTAAAATCTTTATTATTGGATTATAAATCTTAAAGTCAAACAATCTCATATGAATTAAATCAAATTTTGATCAAGCAGAACAGGCCAGTCTCCTGTTAATTTTGATTAATTTATTTTTTGATTAATTCCCTTAATTATGTTTCAAGAGGAATTTTCCTTTTTTTTTTTTTTTCCACAATCAGAGGAATCCAGTGTTATACTTATCAACAGTGTAGCCACTCTCTTTAATATAAATTTAGAAATTAACTAATTAAGAATAGGTCAAGCTGCTGGTTGTACTTTCTTTTTAATCCTCTATGATCACTGTAGACATCCAATTTGATCCAGGTTCAGATTAATTGGACCTGATCCAAATAGGTAAATCTATTTTTTTTATTTTTATATTTTATATTTTATTTTTAATTTTATTTTTATTATTGTTTTTATATATATTCTTCTTTTATTTTTATCTTATGTATTTATTAATATATATCCTTATTATTATTATTATTTTTTTGTTAATATTTATATGTATATTTATCAGATTATATGTTATAATTTATCTATTATTTAATTTTAATTTATCTGTTAATTTTTTGATTTATCTGATTTATTTTCATTAATATTTTTATTTTATTTATTTTTTATTTTTTGATTTATTCGGTTGAAGATTGGATTGGGATTCAATCAGAAGAGTCCATGTTGGATTCCATGATTGAATCCCGATCCAAAGAGGAGTTGGGATTGATTAAAAACTCTTTTGATCAATACCTATAAAAGGACCCTTAGGATTAAAGGAAAAACAGACAGAAAAACAAAAGGAAAAAGCTACTGGCTGAAAGAAAAAGGCAGACAGAAGAGATTTGAAAGCTGAAAAAGGGTTTAGAGGCGTTAGAATAGCTTTAGGAATCGTTGGAAAATTTTTGAAGATTTTTCTGCGAATTTTTTCTGGAAATTTTTGAAAAATTTTCAGATTCCGATTGAATTTTCTGACGAAAGTTAAATTTTTCGGTGACAATTTCGGTCAAGATTGAAGTTTTCGGCCAGCTGCCTAGTTTTCGATGAAGATTCCCAGAAACCAACCAACTTTTCGGTGAACTTTCGGTGAAAAACCCAGATTTTGATGAATTTTCCAGAATCCGGTGAATATTCAACCAAAGTTCTTCAAAAATTTTAAAGAGAATGAGGAGAAGAGAAAGGAAGAGAGAGAGAGAGAGGAGGCTCGGTGTACTGAAAAAATGAAGGAATCAGCCTTATATGCCCTCTCAAAACGACGTCGTTTTTGCATTAAGTAACCCAGAGGATCTGCGCGTTTTGCTGAGATCCGACCCAACCCGAGTGTCGACTCGCTTTCGACCTGCGCGTGTCTTGCTTCTCCGAGCCGTTAGCTGAGTCAAGCCGACACCTCTGAGCCGAGCCGTTCCAATTTTTTTATATATATTTTATTTCTTTATTTTTTTATTTTTTATTTTCACTTTTATTTTGATTTATTATTTTATTTTCTTTAAATAAAATCCAAAAAAAATATTTTTGGGGAAAAGTTGAAAGTATCAATTTTCTTTAAAAATAAATTTTCAAAAAAAATTTTTTGAGGAAAAGTTGAAAGTATCAATTTTTCCTTAAAAATAAATTTTCAAAAAAAAAATTTTTGAGGAAAAGTTGAAAGTACCAATTTTCCTTAAAAATAAATTTTCA